CACAGGGACATCGGTGACATCATTGGGGACCAGTGACATCATTAGGGACAGCAGTGACATCACAGGGACAGTGGTGACATCCGTGGGGACAGCAGTGACATCACTGGAGACCACTGACATCACAGCTGTCTGGTGACATCACAGGGACTGCGATGACATCAGTTGGACAGCTGTGACATCATTGGGAACACCAGTGACATCCCAGGGACAGTGGTGACATCACTGGGGATGTTGGGGATGTTTGGGGGCCTTTGGGATGGCACGTTCCTGGGGGGTTTTCATGCGAGCACGGACGACTCAGCACACCAATGTGATGATCAGAGAGCACCGTTGATTGGAATCAAGCAGCAGTCTTTGATCCAGTTTTCTAACAATACTCTTCTATCAGCTCTGTTTCTTTAACATTCTTTATGTCCTTTCCCACTCTGATAGCTGGTACTGAGACCCTGTTTTCTATATCTAGTTTTGCTACTGCTTCTCTTGGTAGATCTTTCACATCCTGGTACCATCAGAAGGCCATCAGAACAACAGATCACGTTTTCACAATTGCAATATAAGATTGTATTCTCACATCTGCAGCATATCCTCCATATTAGCACTAAAAATCCCTACACTTCCTCCTTTTTCTTTAAACAAAGCAGGCACAGTTTGAGCCAATATGCTGCGAAAACATTGAACCAGACATGGCAGAAAAATACACACTCCTGGAAGCAGAAAGACAACGGGTGCCAGCCATTGTACAGTTTGCATAAGCTGATTCGGGGGGGGCTTTGGGAGGGCACCTGCCCTTCAACACCAGGACTGCAGAGAACTGGGAAGCTTTACTCGGAGCACTGGGAGCAGCAGACGGCTGGTGTGAGAACAAAAGCAGGGCCAGGGGGACACACGACCCCCAAACTCCAGGCAGGGATGGACTGGGGGGTCCCAGCTGGGCCTGAGGCCACGGGGAGGGGCTGCGGCCACCGCCAGCTCAGGAGCTCTGTGGGGAGAGAAAAGGGGTGACAGCAGGCTGGGGGGGCAGGGGGGACACACACGCTCTGGAGAAGGGGGACACGACCCCCAGGGACCCCCCTTTACCTTCTCCCGCAGGTAGAAGCCGAGCCCCAGCACCAAGAAGACGAAACCCAACACGAAGCCCCCGATCCCCATCAAGATCTGCTGCGGACGGTGTCCTGTGGCATCTCTGGGGGGAGCCGGGGGGGTCAGGACCCCCAAAACCTCCCATAGACCATCCAGGACCTCACAAATCTCATCCTGGTCTCTTCCAAACCATCCAAAACCTCCTGAAACCTCCTGTCAGTCTCTTCTGTATTAGTTCATTTGAATCCATTTGTGCCCATAAGAAAGACAGGTACAACAGTCATTCAAATACTACAAAAAATCTTTTATTGCAGTGAGAGTAAAAAAAAGCCCTAGGAAAGAGAATCAAAAACTGAAAAAGAAGACAAAATCACTACTTTATTAGTTGGCATTCATACAATACTACAGCCTTTGTTACAGCATTAGCTCGTAAAAAGGAAATTAAAGGAATACAAAAAAAAAGGATATCAAATGTTTCCTTTCCCGGTTGCTTCCTATCAATAAACTGTGCTCACCTGCACAGACAGGCCAGGCCTACCAGGCTCTGCAGGGCTGGTCGGTGCCCGTGCTTGGTGGGTGTCCCCGCAGAGCAGCACAGTGTGGATGGAAGGATGAGCATCGCTCCCCCCAGCAGTGCTGACACCCCATTCCATCAGCTCTACATTACACTACGTAGGGCCAGGACGCAGCAGAAGGTGGTGCTTGAGTGGCAGCCAAACAGGATCCGTTCATCACCTCATGGCAACAGTCTGGGCGTGCCCCACTGTAGGGCAAGGGGCCAACGACCCCTGCCCACATCATCTTCCTCTCCATCACCTTCCTCAGCCCTATGGACGACCTGTACCATTGTGTTTCAAGGGGATTTGTATCTCTCTTGCAGAGTGGAGCCAAGCCAAGGAGGAACTCAGCTCTGATAATGGGGGACATCCAGTTAACTTTGCTAAAGGCACAATAGGCCTTACAGTGAACTTGTGCAATAAAGGTACACTGTACAACATTCTGGCTGGTTTCACATGGGAATATAATCACTTTCTCACCCCTCTGTGCTCCATTGATCATCTAAATCAAAAGTACCCCTTTACATCATGGTAACCATTATGCATTCTCATTGTTACAAGTGGTTACCATGGCAACCACTATGCATTCAAATTGTTACACCAGTTACCATGGAAACCATTATGCATTCTCATTCTTATGTTGGTTACCCTGGCAACCATTACCCATTCTCATAGTGAAGTCGCTTACCATGGCAACAATTACACATTCTAATTGTTACGTCGGTTACCATGAAAACCATTATGCATTCCCATTGTTACCCTGCTTACCATAGCAACTATTATGCATTCTGGTTGTTACGTCGCTTATCATGGCAACTCTTATGTATTCTCATTGTTACGGTCAGTTATCATGGTAACCATTATGTATTCTCATTAATACTCCAGTTACCATGGCAACCTTTATGCATTCATATTGTCATGTGGGTTACCATGGGAACCATTGTGCATTTACATTGCTAGGCTAGGTTAATACATTTTGCATCGGCAACCATTATGCATTCCTATTGATGCGTAGCTTACCATGGAAACCATCATACTATCCCATTGCTATGGTCAGTTACCATGGCAACCATTATGCATTCCATTTGCTATGGATGGTTACAATGGCAACCATCATACATTCCCATCACTAGGGTCGGTTACCATGGTAACAATGATGCCCTGTTACGGCACTTACCATGGCAACCATCTGTTACACACAGATAATACAGAAATGCCAAAAATTGTTTCTGCCTGTCAAAACCTTCCTATCAAACATTCTCTGTCAGCTCTTTGCCAGAAGTTCCCACCAGGACTTCCCACGGCACTTTTCCTGCCAATAGATCCTGTTATTGTTTATGGTTATCATATCTCCTTTAACATCTGAACTGGCTACATGACAAGAAACCACATTCAACCTCCTTTGAACACTAGAAAAGTTGAGGACAAATTTTTGAAAATCAGGGAGATGAAAGGGAGAAGAACTGGTGACTGTAGCCGAGAATCTCTGCCCACCTCCCCTCCCCTTTTCTCCACCACCGCGTGCTGCCTGCCTGCCACTGGAGACTGGAACTGCCGGCCTGGAGAGAGCTGAGACCACCGTGCCACCTGTGGGAGTTCTACCTTATCCTTCTACCCTGACCATATTTCTGAGGGCCCAAAGCTCGGCTTAGCTGAGACCCTGCTCGGCCTGGGACAGGGGCGTGAGCGGTGAAACCACACCTGGTGCATTGCAGAGAACTAAAGCTGTCAGACCCCCTGCAGCTACAGAGATAACATCCAAAAGCTGCAGAGACAGAGAAAAAAAGGGGCAGAAACTGCTACTCACCCACACACACAGACCAGCTCAGGGGAAAGGTAGCATGGTGGTATCTTCTCTCTGCTTTCAGAAGTAATCGTAAGAGTTTTCCAACGTTTTCTTATTTTTTCCTCGTTCTTTTTGCACCTCTTAGCAATTAATAAAATCAAGTTTTGGTATCAACAGAAAACTTGTGTGAGTTTTAATTTTGCTCAAGGGAATATTCGAATCTGAAGCTCCATCTGCAATATTAAGGCAGACTATAACGAGGGACCATGGAAAAGTGGGAGGAACAGGGAGAAAGGTGGAAAAGGGGGGGTGGTCTGGTGGATCCGGCGGTCCAATGGGGGTCTTTGGGTACAAGGAAGTTGGAAAAGGGGGGGTGACCCCCCTGAGCTCCCAACTGACTGTGGGGTGCTGGGGCTGCTGGATCCAATCTCAACCTTGGGTTATGCCAACACTTTCAGGTTAGAGGAAGTACAGAGGGGGGACTGAACCACTTCTGTCTCTCAGGTTTTAAGGATGGCAAATCACATCTATTGATAGAAATGAATTCTTTAGGGTTACAAATGATCAGACAAAAGATCTTCATCAGAATTACTTACTGCACAATAGAAACACTAAAACTACCAGTAGGACAGCATAAGATAGGACAGTGCTCTACCCTAAAGCAATTGTTGAAGCAATTCTACTCCAGCTGGCACCAAAGCAAGAATTATTCATTAAAGATGGATGGAACTCCCCCAGACCAACGCTCGTGGGGAGATCTCTGCTCTCAACCTCCAGCAGTGACCTTGGGGGGTCCCCAGCCAAGGCAGGAATCTCCACACACCCCCCAAGAAGGGTTCTGTTGGCACAACCTGCCCCTGGGAAAGGGGACTGGCCCTTTCTGGTGGAAAGGGATGGACTGACAGTCACTGGACTCCAGGGGTTGCCTTCCCATCAGGGGGTCATTCGGGGTGGGAGCAGCGGCCGAAGCTCTTCCCGCAGTCAGGGCACTCGTAGGGGCTTCCCTTACTGGTGGGTCCGTTGGTGTCTGGTCAAGTGGGAGCTCTGGGTGAAGCTCTTCCCACACTCCCCACACTTGTAGGGCCTCTCCCCGGTGTGGATGCGCTGGTGCCTGATGAGGGTGGAGTTCAGGTTGAAGCCCTTCCCGCAGTCGGTGCAGCGGAAGGGTCTCTCCCCTGTGTGTGTCCGCTCATGCACGAGGAGAGTTGAGCTGCGCTGAAACCTCTTCCCACATTCCAAGCATTTGTAGGGCCGTTCCTCAGTGTGGCTGATCTGGTGGCTGCAGAGGTTGGAGCTGGTCCTGAAGCTCTTCCCACATTCCCTACACATGTAGGGCCGTTCCCCAGTGTGGATGTGCTGGTGCGGTCAAGGCTGTCCTGAAGTCTCCACATTCCAGTGTAGGAGTCAGTTGGAGCTGTGTCCCTAAAGCTCTTCCCACATTCCTTACATGTGTAGGGTCGTGCCCCAGTGTGGATGTGCTGGTGTTGAATCAGGTTGGAGTGTCTCCTGAAGCTCTTCCCACATTCCTTACATGTGTAGGGCCGTTCCCCAGTGTGGATGAGCTGGTGGGTGAGGAGGTCTGAGCTCTTCCTGAAGCTCTTCCCACATTCCAAGCACCTGAAGGGCTTCTCCCTGCTGGGAGGCTGCTCAGGGACCAACAGCTCCGAGCTCCGGCTCAAGCTCCGGCCGCCTTCCCGGCACAGGACGGGTCTTTCCTCCTCAGAGCTCCCTGGGCTGGCTTTGCAGCCCCTCCTCCGGGGGTATCTCCGGGCCTTTTCCTCCCCGCTGCCTTCCTGTGCCGGGGAGCCCTTCAAAACGGCCTCTCCCACCAGGCTCTGCCGGGGGGATTTGTCCTCCGTGCTCTCCGTCCTCAGCTCGGGGCCTGGGGCAGGAAGGAAGAAGGACAGGCAGGGGATTTGCCTCCAGCCCACAGGGAAGGCCAAGGACATCCCCCCCAAATCTGGTCCCCACAGGCACCACAAGACAGGGCCAAAGGGACACTGACTTCCTCCTCACCTGCCTGAGGGGCCCGTGGCCTCTTCCTCTTCCTCGCAGCCTCCTCCTCCATCTGCCCAAGCTTTGGGAAGGACAAATCCTGCTGGGGGGAAACAAGGCCTGAGCGCGTTGCCTTGGGGATTCCTCCTGCCCAATCCATCTCTGGAACTCACCCAGCATCCTGGGAGCATAAAAAACTCCAAAACACCAAAATTCAGCCCAGAAAAACCCAATTGCTGACATTCAGGAAATAAACTGCCTCAAAAATAGCAAGATTGACACCCCTCCATCACAATGGAAAAATTTAAGGTTCAGCCAAAATATGAAGATTCATGCCAAAAATACTCTCCCAGGAGTTCCCCCTGTCTGGTCTCTCCCCTCTGGGGTTTGGAGGGTCTCCTCTCTCTGGAATGTTGGGGGTCCCACTTAGGGATGCTGGGAGTGTTGGGGTTCCCAAGGGTCCCTTCTCCTCTGACTCTCCCCTTTGGGGTACTGCCTTCCCAGACATTCCCCCTCTCCAGGTTCTCCACCTTGTTGTCCCAGGGATCCCCACTCTCCAGGTTTCCCCTTCTCCGCTCCCCCCGTTTCAGGCTCCTGGGGGTCCCGGGGCTCCTCCCTCTCCGTGCTCCCCCCTCCAGCCTGCCGGGGGTCCCCCAGCTCCGGCATCGCCCGCTCCACCCTCGGCAGCTCCCAGGGGGACCCCAAACCTGCTGTGTCTGCCCAGCCAGCCCCGGGCTGACAGTGGCCCTGACCCTGTCCCTGCTCCTCCCTGCAGGCTCCGTGGCCGGGCACACTTTGTGTTCCTGGGTGCCACCAGCTCAGCAGCTGCAGCCGCTCCAATCAGCGCCCGCAGCTCTGCAGCAAAGCCCCAGCTCACCTGGCACACAGGGCATGGACACAGCACCTTCTCGCTGCTGGGCACTCCCAGCTCAGCCTCTTCCCCAGCACGGGGCTCTCCTGCCTCAGCACCACCTCTGCCTTCCACTTCTTCTCAGGGCCACCTCAGGGCCAGCTCTGGGCTCACCTCCGGGCCATTGCTCAGGGCCACCTCAGGGCCTGCTCTCCAGGACAGGAACCTGCAGGGAGGGCAGATGAGGTGCAAGCCCAGGGGGGCCTGCTTGCACTGGCCTGGGGGCTTCTTTCTCCTCCCACAACCACCCCACAACTTCTCCTGCTTTCCTAAGCCCACATCTTTGCAGACTGCCCTTGTCTCTCTGTCTGCACAGACACATCTATCCCCTGTGGACAGAGCCTCCAGCATGTGCTGTCCTGGAAATGGTACCCAGAGAATCCCAGAGTCAGCCGGCTTGGAAAAGACCTCCCAGATCATCAAGTGCACCCCTTGATCCAACCCCGCCGTGGTTCCCAGACCGTGGCACGGATGCCCAGGGGAGGGGCTTTGGGGATGAGGGCTCTCCCAGTACAGCCCAGTGCCCCCTCAGTGCCCTCCCAGTACAGCCCAGCGCCCCCAGTACAGCCCACTGTGTTCCTGTCCCAGGGTGCCGGGTGATCCCTCTTTGCCAGGGCTTTGATTGGGATTTGGGGCATTTTGGGGGCCTCTGGGTGCATTTGGGGGAGTTAAAAGAGGTCTCAGGAGCATTGCGGGGTAAAAGGGATCTGAGGGGGGAGGTGATTAAATGAAAAAGGGTGGTTAGGGGACATTTGGGGGGTCTTATTGGGGCCTGGTGGGAACAGGAGGGGCAGCACCACGAGCAGGTGAGTCCTGAGACCCCCCTGGTATCCCCAAGACCCTCGTGCTGTCCTCAATTTCCCATTTGACACCCTGAGACCCTCCTGGTGTCTCCAATGTCCCCAGGGCCTCCCCATGGCCCCAATTCCTCCCTTGACACCCCCCATTCCACTGTCCCCAAACCCCTCCCCACTGTCCCCAAACCCCATCCCTGATGTCCCCAACCCTCCATCTCCCCCCAGAAGGACCCCCTGGACCCTCTGACCCCCAAAATGGCCCCATCCCCCCACGCTCACAGAAAGGTCAAGGGCATCTGGGGACACGTGGGGGAAATTTGGGGTCTTTGGGGAGCACTGGGTGATTACTGGGGGATACTGGGACCCCTGGGGAGAACCAGGGGGCATTGGGAGGGACAGGGTGATTACTGGGGGATTACCAGGACACATGGGGGGACAGTGGGAGGTTACTGGGCCATACTGGGGGTTACTGGGTGCTCACTGGAGGATCATTGGACTGTACTGGGGGGCAGTGGGAGGTCACTGGGAAACACTTGGTGGTCACTGGGGGATTACTGGGCCATACTGAGAGCCACTGGGAGGTCACTGGGCTATACTGGGGGCACTGGGATCCCCTTACCCACATGTGGTTCATTTCCCTGAAAAGAATTTGGGTGGCACCACCAGGACCCCTCCCCTGAGGGCTGGGGGACCTTCTGAACCCCACTGATGGGCTTCAGGGGACCTCAGGATCTGAGGTGCTGAGTTTTGGGGGTCTCTGGGGTTCGGGGGGGAATCAGGACCCGCTTTCCCTGCGGTCGGTCCGCCAACCCGGCAGGGGGCGCTGCGGCACGAGCGGCAATGGCGGCGCCGCGCGAGGCCTCATGGGAGTTGTAGTTTGCCTATGGGGACTCTGCCGGCGCCTGCGCAGTGCAGCCATGGCGTTTAAACCTCTCTCCTGAGGGGGTTCCATGGCCCCAGCCCTTTCAGGGACCCCCTAAACCCCTTCAGGCACCTTCACCCTCCCCTCTGAGCGCCCTCAGGACACCAAATCCCCTCCGCGACCCCCCGGGAGCCCTTCACGGAACTCAAAACCTCCTCGGGAACCCCCGAGCCCCTCCTCTCCACTCTGCCGAGCCCTCCAGCCTTCCCGCCCACAGCCGCGCTCCCCGCAGCCCCCGAGCGCATCCCCAGCCCCGCCGCAGTCCCCGCCAGGGCTCACAAAGCTGGAGCAGATCCCGCTGTCGCCGCCATCGCTTTCCCGGCAGCCACCGCGGGGCTGTGCGCGCGCACCGCCGGCAGAGACCCCGCCCCGCCCCCTTTTCCGCGCGGGGCACGCCGGGAGTTGTAGTTGCAGCGGCTCAAAGCTCCAAACTCCCCCAGACTCAATTCCCCACGGGCGTTCCTGGGGCAGAGCGGGGCAGAACCGGGGCGGGGACGGGACGGGCATTGGGTGGAAATCATTATAAAAACTGTAACCCCTGCGTTGGAAGGGATGGGTGTGGGTTTGTATTCCTGGACCCTCATGGAAACCTCTGCTGCTTCTCTGACCTCCTACCTAGTTGGGCCTGGAGTCTTTTTCCTCTGCAGCCTTTTAGGCAGCAACGTTTATGGGGTTTATGAGGACATGGCCTTTATGAGGAGAGCCTCTTATGAGGGGTATGGACTTTCTGAGGACAGCACCTTTATGACAGGTATGGGCTTTATGAAGAGAGATCTTTTAGGATGAGAGCTCTGTCATGAGGTGTGTGGGGTGTATGAGGACAGTGCTTTTATGACATTTATGATGTTTATGAGTGCAGAGCCTTTATGAGGTTTATGGCATTTATGACAACATCTCTTTTATGATGACAGCCCCATGAGGAGGTTTATGGGCCTTATCACGACAGGGGCTTTATGTGGCCTGCAGAGTTCTGAGGTGTGTGAGGGTTATGAGGACAGTGCCTTTATGAGGCTGCACCATTATGGGGTGGATGGGTTCTATGAACACAGAGACCTTCTGAGACTGCCCCATTGTGAGGTGGATGGGGTTTATGAGGAGAGAGACTTTATGAGGAGAGACACTCTAGGATGGTCCCTTTATGAGGTTTATGGGCTTATGAGGAGAGCACCATTATGACATCTAAGGGTGTTGTGAAGACAGAGCTTTCATGATGAGAGCTCTTTTATGAGGTGTTTGGGCTCTCTGAGGCCTGCACCATTGTGAGGTTTATGGGCTTTATGAGAGCAGTGTCTTTATGAGGCCTGCACTTTTATGAGGTGGATGGGGTTTATGAGGGCAGAGCTTTTATGACGTTTATGGGGTTTATGAGGACATGGCCTTTATCATGGGAGCCCCTGATGAGGTTTAAGGGCTTTATGAGGACAGCACCATTATGACATGTATGGGCTTCATGAAGACAGAGCTTTTATGATGAAAGCCCCATTATGAGGTTGTTTGGCTTTATGAGGACAGTGCCTTTATGGGACCTGCAGCATTATGAGGTTTATGGGTGTGATGGTTCAGACCTGGCTCCCTGCCAAATGCCCGAACTCACAGTAGCAACCCCTTCCCCCTCCTTTCTTCCCTTGGGGCAAAGGAAAAAAAAACTACAAAAAATTGAAGAACCCCAAATCAAGCTAATTATATAAATATATATATATTTAATTATATTACAATTATATACAATTAAGATGCTATGTACACAGCGAATCCAAACACTCCCTGAAGGGAAAGGGAAAGGGGAAAAGGGACAAAAGGGGACAAAAAGGGACACCGAACAGATATACACAATCAAACTCAAGAACTATCCTAATAACTAGCAAAACAAATCTCACCACGTCCCTTAGAAAAGCAGGATTGGCAGACACGGCCAGCACTCTCCAATCTCCCACATGGTAGGCCAAGGGTAAGTGCAGGCCTCAGCCTTAGGTAAGCGAGACCAACACAAGGACCCACTGCTCTGAACCTCGCTGGAAGAGAAGAGAGCGAGGTCTCTGATCTCCAACTTATTTATACTCTGGGTTATGTAAAATTCGTATGGAATAGTGCGTACATGGCCACTTCCTTGGTTACAAGCTGGTTACCAGGAAGGCCTAGACCAAAACCATCACAGGGAGGAATCTTCATTCTTATTACATTTTGGGACACAGACTGACAATTCCAGGGCAGGGGCTCTGACACCAAACAAATGCAATTCCACCCAGGAAAGGAAGCCCTTACCCTCCATCTCTCCTGTGCAATTGGTGAGCCAGTCTTGGCACTCCAGGCACAAAGAGACCTTCTTGTGCTGGCACCTTTTTTCTGGGATGTATCTTCATTCTTCTTCCAATTTGGGATTCCGACTGACAGTTGCAATTCAGGGGTTCTGACACCAAACAAATGCATTTCCACCCAGGAAAGAAAGCCTGTAGTGGTTTTGAGTCTAGGCCTTCCTTGGTAACCAGGTTGTAACCAAGGAACCAAGACCATGTTCCAAGTATTCCATACAATTCGTACATAAGCAAATGTATAAATAAGAAGGGAGAGGAAGCTCTCACTCTCTTTCTTCTGGCCAACTGAAAGCGCAGGTTTTTCGCTCTCATTGTGCCTGGGTGAAGGAGCGAGGCCTCGTGTGCCTGGTTGGCCTTGAGAAGCAGAAAGTGCCGGCAGTTTTTGGTGCGATTCTCTGCTAACTTAAGGAAAGTATTAGGGTAATGGTTTGGCTTTAGGGTTCAGATTCAGGTTTAGGATCAGGGTTAGGGTCAGGGTCATGGTTAGGGTTAGACTTGGTTCAGGCTTGGGTTAGGGTTGGAGCAAGGGCTAGGGTTAGAGTTAGGGTTAGGGTTAGGGTAAGAGTTAGGGTAAGGGTTAGGGACTCTGAGAATTCCTGCACAGGGATTCTGACACCAAACAAATGCATTTCCACTCAGGAAAGAAAGCCCTTCCCCTCCATCTCTCCTCTGCAATTGGTGAGCCACTCTTGGCACTCCAGGTACAAAGAGATCTTCTTATGTTGGCACATTTTGTCTGGGAGGAATCTTCATTCTTAATCCATTTTTGGACTTAGACTTACCATTTCAGCACAGGGGTTCTGAAACCAAACAAATGAAGTTCCACTATGGAAAGAAAGCCCTTACCCTCCATCTCTCCTGTGCAAATGATGAGCCACTCTTGGCATTCCATGCACACACAGAGCTTCCTGTGCTGGCACCTTTTGTCTGGGAGGAATCTTCATTCTTATTCCATTTGGGGGATCAGACTTGTGGAGTGCTGAGCTGAAAAAAGACACACTATGGATCAACCATACTAATTGGCCTCAGTTAGGCCTGCCCCTGACATAGCCAGAAGCCTCTT